ATCATTTATTACATATAATCAGTGTCCGAGCCAGTGTCCAGGGAGCCAGGTACCTGACCGGTGGTGTCCGAATGCAAAAATACTTGCGACTGTGATGCTAGCAGTTTGACAGCTCTTTGACTGGGTGTTAGTATATGTTAGCTGAATTTTTCGGTAAAAATATCGTTTGCTGTTTTTCAGTAAAGCATTGGATTGCTGATCATGATCCAGCAATCCGTTTTACTGATATTGAAAACTTAAATTTGGTGTGTACATTCATTTGCCTCTAACTTTTTTAATCAACAAAATTTCGTAAAATGACTAATGAAGCTTTTGTAGGTTTTGATATTAGCTACAACTTTTGTCAATTTTTGAAATCTGTATCTCTTATGCATGTTGACCCTAGTGAACAGAACCAACCATGTAATTTGTATTCACTGAAAAACAAAAACAAGTTCTGCCCGCTCTAGTTCGTCATAAATAATTCCTAGATTTAGCCGGTTTAGAAGAAGAAAAAAATAGGATTGATATTTTATTCAACAATATGGGACTGAGAAATATACTCAAAATGTGGGATTTTGAAAAAAAAATACTTGATCCCACATTATGAAAAAAAGTCCAAGATACAGACCCTGGAAAACTTCGAGGGTTTCAGGGCAGGTAGTGGATATGTGATATCTTAGTAGTGACCAAACTAAAATAACGAAAATAGTGACTTATATACTCACATGCGCATTTTTTATGTTTCTTGAAAATAAAGCAAATGGTGAAGGATCCCATAAATTTGTTCGGACTAATTCTTCCTCTATTTTTTCACTCTGCATGCTTTTGTCTACTTAGATTTTGTTTAAACAAACAATTTACTAAGTTAAATTAGATGCAAATCGCGAATAATTCCAATTATTGTGATTTGAATGTAAAATTGAAGCACAGAGAAACATGTTCAAAACCACGAATTAACAATTTTTGTTGTCCTAAAGAGCTAGGATATAGATGAAGCAATACGTCTTCTTTGTAGTCGCTATAACGGACTGATAGTCTTTTTTATTTTGCCCCAGTCCTCCCAAGAACAGGAACTTTTGTAACAACTCAACATAGACAAATTTTCATAACTCGTGGACCTAGACAACTTTTCTAGATCGCAGTCTTAGAACAAATCTCAATGTTCGGGAACGAGGAAAATTTTCCCATATGGAAAGATCAGGGGCATAACATAAAATTAACTGCATCTAGGACTTAGGATTTAGGGATAAATTTTAGAGCTTTTGGGCCATTTTTAAATAGCTGTGACTTAAAAATTCGAGATCACTAAGACAAATAAATTGAGTCGTCACAAATTAACAATCCTTGACTAATTTAAATACTCCTGAAACATAGAAAAAATGTCATGATCTTGGACTTAGTTGGACATAAGTCTGGCGTCGCGTCCACATGTACAACCTGTGTACGACAAAGGTGTAAATAATTTAAAAAAAAACTGCTTTTAGATATTTATAGATTTTATGGTCACATTATAGCTGTACTTCTTTGCTCTAGACCACAAGTGACCATGAATACACTATTTCATAGTGTGGCTCAATTAAATCTTCGACCTTGGTTTGCTTCAAAAAGGATTAAACTCAGTTCGGATGGTCTGCCTAATCCCTAATGCATTGATTTCTAAGCATGTCGATATCACTACCATGACAAAACTCGTTAAATAGTGCACCTAAAAGTGAGCTTTTTTGGGTGGCGGGTGGCAAGTTTGTGAATGGTCAAATGCCTGATGTAAGCCAAGCAGACCTTCTATCACCTCTTGAAACATACCACAAATTTTCCACAATACATGGCGGTTTGCACCACTAGTTGTAATTGAAACATTCAGCAGTCACGCGTCAAACGGGAGTAACACGGAAATGGCAGTCTGGTACGCTTTGGACGTGTATCATCAGAGTTGCGACCTATCACAATCACGATCGCCAAACAGCTGATGGTAGTAACGCTTTGTACATTCCTATCAATGTGCTCGTCGAAGCTCTCTCCATGACCATCCATCAAAGTTGACGAAAGACGTAAAAAGCAACTGGTGAATGTCGTCTTCTGTTGTGATCCAACACCGATTTGGTCATTCTCGACAATCACGACACTCATCTGTGCTCGTTTTGAAGCAGTTGCTGCTTGACTTGCTTATTTGAGTGTATTGGTGAGTGAGCCCAACAGCTTCCGTTTTATGTTGCCTGCTTTGTTTGTAACTCACACAGTCGCGCCTGCCGAGACGAACTTGGAATGCGTAGGCATTGTTCTCATTTTCTTCTGTCGTTTCGCTTTTTCTCATGATCTTACTGCAGAATTTTTCACTGTTTTCGTTGTGCTTTTCATCATCAGCAGCGAGTGTAGCGTTTTGCTTGTGAGCAGCGGCCATTACTGGTGATTGTTGTTTGCCATGGCTCTAACCAGTCTTGTAAGCGGTCACGGTAGTCGACACATTTTCTGTGATAATTGACTGCCTTTGCCTCCGACACTTGCAAAGCAAGCTATCATAGTACAGTACCAAACTAAAATGTCGTATGACAGGCTCTGTCATACGACACTGTTGCTGAAGACCGTCACGAATGTATGTATTTAAGTTTTTCTCATAATAGGAGCTGCTGATGATGTGTTTGTGTGAATTCTGAAAATAGCAAGCAATGATGTCCTAGTAATAATATTTCTGATCAGAAATGGTTTGATTTACACCAAATTGAGGAATTACAACGAAATCACACATGTCATATGATAGCTATTTTGATAATTTTCTTTTAGCTCGAATGTTATTCTACCGCTCCTGTTGTGTGAGAGAGACGACGGTAGAGCATGAGTGTTCGAATACAAACAGACTGTCACGCACGACAACGAAGCGAGTGTAGTAGAAAACGTCAACTGTTTCAACCCCTGGCTCTAACTCTCACTGCGTGACAAAACTTTCTGTCTGCGATAGTCAGTTGGTGCGAAGACGAGTGTCACGTGAGTGTCATGATATTTTACATCACTGTGTATCATATTTGCAGACCGGTTTGAATGTGTGAGTTTAAATTAGAAGAACATTTGTGATGTATGGGTGCCTAAAGCGTGCATTTCTCGCTGTGCACTTGGATCTGATTGTACACGGCCAATCATACCAACTCAGCGACTGAGAATAATTCAGTGTCAACATTTCAAGGGGGCGTAATTGCTTTTGTAAACAATGGCTTCTGACGTTGATTTCTCGCAAATAAACGCTCACTCCTCCAATTAAAAAATGCTAGCTAGTAGAGAAAACATTCTTCTACATGTTGGTGTCATTAATTTTTATGAGTGAGCTTTTATTCGCGAGAAATCGATGACTAAAGCCATTGTTTACAAATGCAATTACGCCCCTTTGAAATGTTGGCACTGAATTGACTCAGAGAATTTTCTTTCCATACGAAATTTACTCAGATTTGGAAGAAACTGCACTCATAGCTTATGAGTAACTGCAGTTTCTTCCAAATCTGAGTAGATTTCGTATGGAAAGAAAATTCTCTGATTCTATTCAGTGCCAACATTTCAAAGGGGCGTAATTGCAAATTTTCCAAATCTGAGTAAATTTCGTATGGAAAGAAAATTCTCTGAGACAATTATTCTCAGTCGCTGAGACAAAGTAGACGGTAGACAAAGAGAGTAAAGCTGGGTTTAGACAGGGCAAGTCAATTGATCAAGTCAGTTGAATTCGACTTCATCAGTGCCAAGTTCTCAACACCACAGCAAGTAGTAGACGAAATACGCGTATCTGTCGAATGATAAGCAATTATAACGGAATTTAAAGGAAATAAACCAACACACTCCACAATGAACAATTAATAATCGGCTCAGTAAAGCTAACGCGAATGAGCCTTCTAAATAGAAGATGAAGCTTAATTGCAGAAGTTTAACAGCCATTCAGTCTCAAATATCCGTCATTTTTTCTATTTAAAATTCTAAATGCCTATTCTATGAAGAAAACATCTACGAAGCTAGTATTCAAGCATGTTCGCAGTTCCTTAAAGAAGGAGAAAGCTTAAATAAGTAATGACTATTTAATGGTACATTTACAAACATGAGACGGACCGAAAAGTTGTGGATCACCTGTGAATCACCATGGGAAGGAGAGAGTTAAACCGGAATAGTACATAACTTCAAACTTTTTGAGAAGGCAAATACCGGTACCGTACCCAATTTGATATTCTCGTTCAAAACCATCATCGGTAAAGACTTTGCTACTTTGTGCGGAATGCACTTCCTCCAGTTGACCGGCTCCGGACATGCGAAAAAAGCATTGCCCAAAACAATTACATATCTATACGGTGTGATAGCCCGCGGCTAATGAACTTGCTGAACCGATAATGATCACGCTTTTGACCGCTCGCTCGCAGCTGTCGTGTCGTCGTATCACGTCTATTCTACCCGTATAAATATCAGCAACTGTTAAACGCGGGTTATGCTAGAGAAAAAGTGCTAAAAGCATTACTCATGTGTGAGGTTTACCCCGTCAAGGTTACGTTACGATTGACGGCCGGTCGGTGTATGTTCAGTGACTGTCAGCGCTTATCAGCACCTCTCATGCCGGTGATCAATGACTGTATCACGCCGAACAATGGATTAGTTCCTAAGTAACATTGATCGATTCTCTTCATCGAGTGTTTTCTTTCGTTAATAACTTGGCAACAAAACCGTGATTTGCCGTCTTAGATGCTTCTTTTATCGACCTGTGTATCGAAAATAACTGGAAATCGTGGCCGTGGGATGCAAAGAAAAAAACGACGAAGAGAATCTGTCAATGCTACTTAGGACCTAAACCAATGTTCGGCTTGATATGTACATTTGTAGCATGCGGGATCATTTTTCAATGCAGTAAAGGAGATTGTGGGGTACCGTTGGTTTGGAATACCAAACGGTTAGTGGTTGAATTCCCACAACAAAAATGATTCCGAATCTCTCCTACGAACATTTCGCTATTTGTAGATCAGATGAAATGGGTACGCTCGCAATTACGAAAGGTCACTCACCTCTAGCACCGAATCTTTCGTTGGCAGTGGACTGTCATCCAGCAGCAGTGTGATTACGCTGGGACCCATCGGATGTTCCAGGGGGACAACTCGGATCAATGATTTAACGAGCTGTATCCAACCGGTCGGTTTGTCGGTTATGTCATGCAGCATGACCATCGAGTTGGGCGGTTCTGGTTCACTGTGAAGGAGAGTCGGAAAAGGGAGGAAATTTTAGCTAAATGTTATCCATCTGTAGGTAGGTATATAAGCAGCAAAGAGACGAAGTATTGGTAGGAAAGCTGCGCTTCAGTAACCAAACACGCTACAGAATTCCAGTTTCGTGATTGTAGTTTTTCTTCTTCGGGTAGGTGGAGGGGGTAATAATCAGTAATCAACACCATGTTGTTAATTTGGCCCGTATACATTGCTATAAACACGCAATACGAGATTCGATTTCTTTCGTTTTCAAGGTTTTGGTGATTTGAGTTTGGTTGGTGTTCCTCGTTTAACCATAAACTCTTTTGAACTTTAGTACAAAACACACTTTTTTGGTTTTCCATTCGTATGACAATACAAAGTCACAATAGATGGAGATTTGAATGGAATGCGATTTCCGGAAAAAAAAACTTGATTGTGGGTAATGTGTGGCTTCGAATTAGGGTGTACACTGGAAATAATGACGAATAAAGTACGGGTGGAGATTGTTTGACAGAGAATGGAGAACAATAAACAAGTTGGCCATGGTCAGGACTGGAAATGGAAGTACGCAAATTGGTGAGATCATCGACGCAATGAAAAGGAAGCAGGAGATTAACAGTGGTCATGTACCTAGTCTGATATATGATAGAATGAAGCGAACAACTAAACAGACGTGTTTTTATTGTAGGAATTCGTTTAATTTAGATTGATATAGTGTTGTAACGTGTTGTAACTTAACCTCTAGACGGGACTCTAGATGAGGGGTGGGACCTAAATTAATTGATACTATGTTCAGTAGTAGACTGATGCAACATTTGAACATTTCGCTTCACAGTGCTCAAACGGTTTCAAATTGGGTCCTAATTATTCTCGCTAAATTTGAACACATCTAGTAAGAAACTGACTTGGCACAAACCATTTATGTGGACATTTTAATTCCGTTATAATTGCTTGGCATTTAACAGATACGCGTATTTTGTCTACTACTTGCAGACTTCATCAGTACCTATTGATTGTTATATAAGACGTAGACAAAAGATGGATTCTTTATTGGTGTTGAGTACTTGGCACTCACGAAGTCTGCAAATAGTAGACGAAATAAGCGTATCTGTCGAAAGATAAGCAATTATAACGGAATTAAAAGGAAATAAATCAACACACTCCAAAAGCTCTTCAGATAGTTTCATGATTATCCCGATTCTGTGGTCACCCTGCATTATAAAAGAATTCGGAGGAGGATTCAAAGAGAATTAACCCTACGGCAAACTTAATGATGAAATGACTACAATCCTGAAGCTACGCCTAATGATGACCTAAGACAGACAATTCAATGTTTATCAGATCAATTCATCCAGTGGTGTCCCGTAACCTCACTTTTTACCTGTGAACCTACTTTCAAAGCCAGATTTAATGCCATATTCATACTCGAATCGGTTGAAAAATACACTAAATCTTTTAGTTTACTCCATGCCTATCAATTGCAAGCAATATTTGTTATAATTGTTTATGTTTTAAGAGCTGGTGCACAGTTCTTATTGAGGTTAAGGAAACGCCACTGATCATCAAAGAAAATTCTGAGTAGAGCTGTATAGAAATATGGATAATACTTTCAAGGGGATTTCATTTTGAATATACAGGGTGCGTGACGAATTTTTGCAGTAAATGACATATTTGAGAAAAATTACACCAGTTAGCTATTCTAGCAATGAATGTTATGTGATTTATTTTCTTTCGCAAAATATGGAAGTTGTAACTAATTTTATTCAAAAAAAATCGCCTTCCCTTTCGACGACTGTAGCTAGACGCTTCCGGAAACTGCCATATGCACGTTTGACAATGTTTTAATCCATAGATGTCATCACTACCTTGATTTTAGCTTTTAAGGACTTAAGTGTGGTGTTAGGGGTTCTATTGGTATTCCGTTCGACGATGCCCCGTACAAAATAATCCAACGGATTGATATCAGGACTGCTTGGGGGCCAAATTTCTTTCTCCTAAAATTCCGAAATATTTTTCGCAAGCCATTTCTGTGTTTTATTAGCAGTATGAGCAGGTTCTCCGTTTTATCACTTTCCCAGGCCTTTTTTATATTCTACACTGTTCTTTCAGACACATTTATCCACCGAATTATTTCTATTACGCTTACTCCGGCGCGCAACAAAGCGACAGCGGCTGACCGATTGCTCTTTTGTTTCGACATCTTTACGTTTACTCAACACTGTTTGTTTACATCTTACACCTAACAGTATGAGCAATTCAGTGCTGCCAAATATATCTAAATCATGATCCGCAAGCATGAGAAATTACTATTTGAAATTTACTGCAAAAATTCGTCACGCACCCTGTAGTCCAAAAAATTCTTCGTAAAATTTCAGGCTAGTCAGTATAAGAAGAAAATTTCTCAGAGCAGGTTTAGCAGGAAATTTAGAGCTCATTTCCAAAGTTTTTCTGAGTTGTGGAGATTCTGATGAAATCTGCAAAATAATTCAAAGGAAAGTTTCAAGGTAATTCGTAGAGTTACTCAAGGGTATTTTGAGAAAAAAAGAAATCATGGAAATTCTGAGGTAAAATCCAAGGAAATGTTGGGAGAATACTTTTCTAAATTATTAATGACAAACCAAGAGATTTAAAAAAAAAACTGATCAAGACCATGGGGCTAGAAATTTCAGAAAAGTGTACTAATATGAAATGTGTTATCCCAAGCTTGGAAATATCTGGACGTGTATTCCCAGAAATGGAGATATTAACATTGACAGATTCTTTTTGCATCCTTACGGCCATGTTAAGACATTCCCAGCTAATTTCAGCACAGAGATCTAAGAAACAAGCACATTGTTCAGCTTGATAATTTTTAGATTTTGCTAAATTTTTGGTATGTTTTTTTTCCTTGATTTGTCTTCCGTCGATCTTGTTTTCGTACTGAGTAAAAATGCTACCGAAGCCAGGAAGGCAGCTCCCACACCTGGACCCTACCTATCGACCCATCAACTCATGGACCTGGGACCTTCCGAAGGCGTGATGAGAGATTTTATGCCTCAGTAAATCCCGGCGGCGCCGACTGAGATTTAACAGGCCTTTTAGGGTGAAATTAAAACAATCTGGGCTTGAAATAACTATTCAAGATTCTTAGAAAAATATTCGAGATATCGGACTTTGAATAATTATAAACAGAATTGGATTAACGTACAACAAACAAATATATATAGGGGAAATGTATGTAATGTCGGCGTAAATGTCTCTAATTTGGGCCCATACATAAATCAGCAATCGACTAAATTTTCCATAGCGACCAAAAATATCCATTAGTACCGTCCCAATGACGCGTTCAACTAGATAAAATTGATAAATAGCTGATTTTTATCGATGGGCCCAATCTTAGATCCGTAGGCCAACATTAGAGCCATTTCCCCTATATATTTTATTAGGATCGAATAAAATTGTCGGTTGTTTCCCGGTTCTACCGGTTTTCTTAATTCAGTTGACACCCTGCTGCCTCAGAATTTATGATGAAAATGCCAATTGAGTTTTAGGAAAATTTTAAAGGAATTCTGAGGCAGTGGTGTCGTGTAACTTCACTTTTAACCTGTTCTCCCTCTTTAAAAACGTAAACAGATGATTTTTTTTTTCTTAAACGGTTACTAATTAGTGATCCTAGGAGATTATGTGCAAATTGGAATCGATTTGGATACAAATATGGCTATAAACTACGTTTCAAAAGTCGGAGACCAGGTAAGAAGTGAGGTTACGCGACGCCACTGTTCCGGGGAGACTTTCAATAGAATTGTGACTAGAAATTTCAGGTATTCCGAGAAAATTGCCAACAGCTGAATTCTAAAGTAGTTCTGAAGAGATTACTAATTATGGGGATTATGAGTAGTATTTTCTAAAGCTAGTTATATATAAGCTAGTAGTATTCTCTCAAGTAGGGAACTGGTAAGCAAATTGGAATATTTTAAGGAGCATTTCAAAGGAATTCAGAAGGGGATTCAAAGTGAATTAACAATCCTGAAATCACACCAAATGATCACCTACGGCCAAAAATCTCTGAAATTTTGATTGATCAATTAATCAAAGAAAAATTCTGCGGGGAGCTGGAAGGCAATATAAATAATAATTACAAGGAAGACAAATTATTTATAAAGCTCAACATATTTTTTATATAGTTTCAATAGAATTCCTAAAAGAATTCTTAAGAATTTTGAAGAAATAACAAAAAGTTTGGGAGGAAATTTTTAGTATATTTCCGAAGAAACTTTGAGTAGTGTTCCAGAATATTCTGAAGGAAAGTTTAAAAAAATATGCTATAGATTCCGTACACAGAAATTCAAGATCCAGAATTCTTCTGCTTAAAATTCTAAGAGAAATATTTTAGATTGAACTTTGAATACTTATTAATACCATATTATAAGTTAAAGTTTCAATCAAATTCCTGGATTTTTCCCGGCTATCCTGGATGTTTTTGATTCCCGGTTCTCTAGGTTCAGTGGCCACCCTGCTGTATCGAAATAAACTTTAAACACTAATCGCATCGTGGAGCCCCCTTAACATCATGTGAAGCAAATAATTGTGTTATCGAAATATCTACGATTCTCCAAATTGTCCTATATCTACGATTCTCCAAATTGTCCTGATCATAATATTTTACAGTCTCATTGAAATCTTGTTTGATGACTGGAATGATTTATTGGTTGGTTGGTTGGTTCTTTATTAAGGAGATTTTCAGTCAGACACTGGTTCATCTCCGGGAACCCCTGAAGGGGTTTCCCCAAATTACAGAATTGAAAAAAGTGTCCGGAGGGGCACTTCTGAAAGGAGACTCCAGAAGGGAGTCCCTTTAATATGGAATACTTATGTAATACAGAGTGGTATCTAAGGTACGGTTATTGTCTTTTGATGCTGACTTATTTACGTTGGGAGGTGGAGGGTTTCCTGGGATGGCTGGCGGAGAGGAAGTCCTTGTTCTTAGCTGTGGTCGTGGTTGTTGAAAGTGTTCGGGCTGGT